TTTAAATTGATTAAAACTATTGAATAAATGATATCTTATTTAAGCGTGAAATTGAATTGTTATTATTTAAAATTACTATAATCAATAAAATATACGGGTAGGCAATAAAGCAATATATTAAGTAAATTGAAAAAGTCAAACCGTCAATAATCCAGGACACTTCAGCGCTGGGATTAGCGGGTCCGGCCGCACACGTCAATGCAATTGAATCGCCAACCCTTCCCTGTTTAGCGCCATTTATTTCTACTTTTACTGCCGGAACTGTTATATGAGTGCCAAAAAATCAAATCAATTAATTTATAGCATTAACTTTATTGATGATCAAAACATTTTGAAATCATTTCATTTCATTATTTATTGATTTACTTTTAAAAGAATTTACTTTCAAACATCACTTTCTTCTACTGTATATAACCTAAGTTTTAAAGAAACCCAATCTTCTGTCTTAATAGAGATATTAATCTCTAATTCACTCTCTTTTCTAACAACAAAAAAATAGAAGAAATTTTATAGAAAATTATTCCCAAAGTTTTAAATTGATTAAAACTATTGAATAAATGATATCTTATTTAAGCGTGAAATTGAATTGTTATTATTTAAAATTACTATAATCAATAAAATATACGGGTAGGCAATAAAGCAATATATTAAGTAAATGGAGAAAATCAAACCGTCAATAATCCAGGACACTTCAGCGCTGGGATTAGCGGGTCCGGCCGCACACGTCAATGCAATTGAATCGCCAACCCTTCCCTGTTTAGCGCCATTTATTTCTACTTTTACCGCCGGAACTGTTATATGAGTGCCAAAAATCAAATCAATTAATTTATAGCATTAACTTTATTGATGATCAAAACATTTTGAAATCATTTCATTTCATTGTTTATTGATTTACTTTTAAAAGAATTTACTTTCAAACATCACTTTCTTATACTGTATATAACCTAAGTTTTAAAGAAACCCAATCTTCTGTCTTAATAGAGATATTAATCTCTAATTCACTCTCTTTTCTAACAACAAAAAAATAGAAGAAATTTTATAGAAAATTATTCCCAAAGAAAAACTTATGGCTATTATATAACAGATTATTAGTAAATATCTTGAAATGGGAAACAATAAAAAAAATTTAATTCATTTATTTTGTACATTAAATCAGATCGTAAGACATAATAATAACAAATGTAATCATCACATAAGCAAAGCTTAATTCATGGATCTGAATATTTCATAGCAAAGAGAAAGGGTTTATGGCATGTAATATATAATTATGTCATTTCTTGTGATGACTGGTAATCAAAGACTGGAAGCGGTGTAAAGATAATTGTCAGACAAAGTATTGCGGAAAAGATATAAATAAATAGATGTCTTACACAACACTTTAAGTTTTATAAATGAAATCAATGGCAGAGTCGTGACATCATTAGTGGCTTCGCATTTGTAAATCGCGTTGTTATCGTTGGGTTTAACCTGAAAAGTATATATATTGGTCGCCTCCCGACCACCAGAGCTCGAGTACGTGTCGTCCACGTCGTGCCCATCTTTGTACCAAATCCTGTCAAACGTAACATTTATATGAATTTAATAAAATTATTTAAAAAATATATGCAATTTTTAGATATTGCATACAATTTAGCCAAAGGATTGCCGCCACGACTAATGCAGGCGAGTGTGAGAGTGTCGGTCACCCGAATCACGTGCCCATCGGTATAGCCCTCAATGGATGGCAAACCGGGCGGATCTTAGCAAACAATTGATAGACATTAGTAACGCCTAATTTATGCCAAAAACTTAGTTAATTAAAGTCGGATAACAGTTGACATACAGAGCACACTTAGAGTGACCGTCGATTTTAACGGCTTAGAGAGGGCCGGGTGTTCGGCCTGACAGCTATATTGCACACCTTTCACATTAAATTTAGATAAAGTTGTAGTAAAAGCAGTAAATTATAAATGAATTACAAATAAATTACAAATGCATACCATTATCGTCGAGTTTAGTGTAAATATAAACAGTGCTTGAGGTGGACGTCAATTTACCAGATGCTCCCAACCCTTCCCTTAATACTGTTGTGTAACTGTCTTTTATAACATTTAAAACGGACACAAATATCAATAAATTTCATGAAAACACATTTGTTTTTATGTATATTTAATACAATAATATAATAAAATTATAATAAATAGGAATTACACATGTATTTCACTTCATCTCAAACCCATTTATATGTTAAAAGTATCCCAACAAACAGAATAACATAAATATCATTAAAAATTATTATTTAAAATTAAAATATAGATAACTATAAATTAATAAAATTAAATATTTTATGAGAAAATATATTAAATTAATTATTATAAATGTTAGATTCAACTGAATTATAGGAACTGAAAATTACAATACTATAAACAATATTGTTATTGTATTGAAAACAATAGTTCATTGCATTTCCTGGTGTGGAAAGAATTTCCCCTCAATTCCCCAATCCTTGTAAATGAGAATAAATGTGCAAAAAATGATATTTATTTTTATTTGTTATGAAATCAATTTATTATTATATAATATTTTGACCAATTATTTGTTTCAATCAAAAGCACAACTTTTTCATTCGTGTTATTTTGTTTGATGTAAATATAATAGTCTTCTGTTGTGTAAAAACGCAAACATTTGTGATAATAATTTATTACAATATATAATATTGACAATAATTACTTAATATTTTGAATCTATATCTCAAAACACATATATCTTAAGAAAAGTTTGTGCATTAATTACTTTCAAATCGCTTTATTATTACAAGAAAACCCTATGCTTTAAATTTCTATTATTTCATAATGTGTTAAACAAGTCATTAAATATCACACATTTATAGCATATAAAAGAATTTAATGCCAAAAAATTGTATAATAGAGCGAAACAACTGTGAAGTCATTAAATAAGGCTTTAATTGCTTACGACATAAGTTTATGAACGCTTCAAACAATGGATGAAATTTATATTTCTCTCACAAAAAAAGTAATTATTAATTAAATTCAAAGTAAGAGTGAATGCAAGTAATAGCGAGAGACCTGTCATTTTAAAGCACATTTTCATTACTCGCTTCAAAATTCCTGCATTTCAGAAGTTATTCTTGTCTTAAAAATTGAATATTAAAACACAAACTAATGACTACTAATTCGCATTCAATATGTGCAGTAATTTTCCTAAATATAACACCGGAATATATATCGGGTTTTTAATGTTTGGACACTAATTACAACAATTGGTGTTTAAAAATGATTTTATAATTTAATGATAAAAATAATATTTATGAATACCTTTAGTGAGCGGAACTCCATTGCGAAACCACTTAATATGTGTGTGAGGTTTGGATAAAGTGCTGGTATTGCACGACAATGTGATCCTCTCAGCCTCTCTTACTTCTAATCTACTATTAGTTTGACTCGTCTTTTGTTTTGTCGCATTGAAAACAAGCGCCCGATTTGTTGGAAGCAGTAATATCTCACGCGGAGGGACTGGGATTGTGGTAAAGGATGCGTTTTGTTGAGAAAATAGTTGAAACAACAAAATAAAATTAATGAAAAAATATCGAAAGAGTGGGAAAATGAAAAAAGCATAAGAGTTGAGAGGAATTCCCAACAGAATAGTCACACATTCATACCTAAGACAGTGATCCGAGAGTTGGCCCGAATTGCTTTGTTTTCTTTTGTCGGACCTATGAATACATGCGACAGAATTACAGCCTTTTATCTTCCGTACGGATTATTCAATGAAAAGATAGATTTCATTCAAAAAACAACATAAATAGCGATACGTTTGTACAGAGTATTGGAAAAAGATTGTTTTCCCAAATGACTACAATTTCGATTTATAACCTATACATCAATACAACTAAAATCAATGCAATTCTTTGCACTTTTATACCTATTATATACATGTATATCAATGGTTAGAATCTACAATTTATTACAAATTTTTCAATTAATTAAATCATAAAAGGAATTTTAATTAAATAATTATATAAACAATTAAGAAAATTGAATTAATAAATATGGATAAGGTTTAGGGCTAAGCGTTGACTAATAAATACGTAAACAAGATTTAAATCTTATATTAAATAAAAAATATATGAAACTTAGATCTTAGACAAAGATATCATCTTATATTTCAAAAATTGATATAAAATATAGCTTCAATTTTAGTCTTTCTATCAATTTTTTATTTTGTAAAATTTTAAAGGAATAGTCATTTTAGATCCATTAGCTGTCAGTCAAATGGATGAACAGATATTAAATGACAATTCTTTGAAAATGGTTGATATTCTGGTCTCTAAATTGTTGATAACATTTTGTATTAAAAATACTCTTAAAATTATAATTTAATATAAAACAATCTTAAGTAAATTTACACAGTTTAAAAAATTATTCTATTAGTTTTTTATATTGTAATTATATAAATTTAATAAAACCATGTTTTAGTTTTTATTCGCCCAAGCTTACTTATAAATTTCATAAACCATCTTAATTACAATTAGTAATTTGTGCAAGTGATAGTTTCTTATGGGAAAGTTGGACAGTATTTAATAGATGTTTGTAATTAATTTAGGTTACAATTTAAATGCATATTTATTTTGACGGTCTAGCTCGTGATAAACATAATTTTAATAAATCATTTCTATTGTGAATTAATTTTTTTAAAAATTATTTCTGTAGTTTATTGTGTCATAAGAATAAGTGGCAAAACAAGGTTTGCGAGCAAAGCTATAATTACAACAATTCGGGTGATATAAAAGATATATAAATTACTTTGAAATCTAATCAAGATTCTCATAGATTTATCATTACACATAAAGTTACCAAAGATTTAACACTAGCCCAGACTATGGGTTTCATAGAGTTTGAACATTAGACCTACTATAAAGCATAATCATAGAGAGGGGGTAAGATCGCTCAATCCTATTTGAACAACAATTTTGATTCTGAATTGTGGTTAAAAATGGCAAATTATTTAATGGCGTGAATGTAAGCGATTGTTCAGTACATTAATTTTGATGAACCGAATGAACAATTCTTTAGATAAATATCAAAACAGTAAAACATTGACTCCAATGAAGAGTATGTAAAGTCTAATTGCTTACCCACTTGACACTCGATGTCACCTAAAAAAACAACAATCATATAGTAATTAATTTTAATGATAGTCTAATTCAATGATTTGAAATTATAAATACATGCCTTCGTCGATGAGCTGTGCGTTTGAGATCTTTAAATTATAGACTCCCCGGAGAGGGTCGACACTCATTGAATATCTGGGCCAACCCGGAACATCAGGATCGAAACCTAATTATATACTACTATTTAGTATTTATTGATTAAATCATTTATTAAATTATTATTATGTCTTCATTTTATTTAATAATAGCTTTAATGCATTCAATATTCATGTAAAATGTTGTTAATATATACAGTATAATATAAATATACTACAATATTTTAGTTTCGCTTTTAAAAGTATAGTAAAAAAATCCAATGCTATTTGAATGCAAGAATTGATTCAATATTTTTTGTATATAACTTATTATAGTGTTTGTTATCATTTATAACGTATACTAAATATATGCAATAAATTGAATATTGGGTTTGAATGGCTGACCGCATGAAACCATATCTCAATTCAATGAATGGAGAATAGAGTTAAGAAAACTTATAGAGGAGTCGTATTGACGCCACTTATTGTATATGAAAAGCGTTTTATATACTAAATGAGAGGACAGTTGGATCTTCTGTCATATGAAAAGACCAACGATTCCACACAAACACACATACAATGCATTGCTTTCGTGTTTGGATTTTATTCTATATAAAAGTTCTTTCAAATAAGAAATGCATTTCAGTTATAAACACATGAAAAATATCCATCGATTGCTCCATCAGTTAATGCCATCCAAACCAAATTCTCACTCCCTTCTCTCTCTCTCTCTCTCTCTATGATAATGCATTATGATAATACATTTAGTAGGTCTAATGTCCAAACTCTATGGAACCCATAGTCTGGGCTAGTGTTAAATCTTTGGTAACTTTTTGTGTAATGATAAATTGATGAGAATCTTGATTAGATTTCAAAGTAATTTATATATCTTTTATATGACCCGAATTGTTGTAATTATAGCTTTGCTCGCAAAACTTGTTTTGCCACTTATTCTTATGTCACAATAAACTACAGAAATAATTTTTTTTAAAAATTAATTCACAATAGAAATGATTTATTAAAATTATGTTTGTCACGAATTAGACAGTCAAAATAAATATGCATTTAAATTGTAACCTAAATTAATTACAAATATTTATTAAATATTGTCCAACTTTCCCATAAAAAACTATCACTTGCACAAATTACTAATTGTAATTAAGATGGTTTATTAAATTCATAAGTAAGCTTGGGCGAATAAAAACTAAAACATGTTAACTCTTAACATAATTTTTTTTAACTGTGTAAATTTACTTAAGATTGTTTTATATTAAATTATAATTTTAAAATTATTTTAAAATACAAAATGTTATCC